TTATTCATTTTTGGTAAGAATTGTTAATAACAGTATTTATTCATAAACCGTTAACGAACCTAATGCCAAAGAATTAATTTTGTGGCATTCATTCTTTTTCCTGAGTAAATTTATGTGATCTTCCTCACTCAAATGGATTATTCCAGCCTACAGGAGCTAACAGCTTTCATATAGTTTCGAGTAGTACTCAACCAATGTCTCGACAATGTCAGATAATTACTAGTCACTTTCCATACAAAATTTTCATATCGGAAGACATATAGAAATCGTCAACCGATTTCAAAATATTTGAATTTTGGGGTTTTCGAGGGATGGAGTTTCATCTCACCAAAAGATAGACGTAGTTTTAGACCCGCGGCTCTATAAATATTTAGTCTGGGCTTTAAGTTCAAAATCACATTGAATGGACATACTTTTAGTAATATCAAGTGGTTAGGCTCATTCGATCCGAAATATTGTCTAGATCATTGTGAAAAAAAAAGTAAATTAGTTCATAAAAAATTCTAAAAGTTATAAACTATCGAAGACTCTAAAAAGCATTGTTCGGTTTTGTTGTTTATAGTTCGTAAACTATAAATATTTTTGAATTTTGAAAAAAAGGTCCGTGAAGAGAAGGAAATTCACTAAAAAAAAGTTCCGACTCTCGAAACTGTATTTCCATTATTTATAATTTTATTTTAACGCTGAAAATAGCTGTCCGCGAGCCTTTTTTTTAGGTTGCGTGCACGACCTCTAAGCGAGTACGTAACTTGAACATGATATAATTGGCCACGGTGGTAGTGCGCTCGATCGGAAAGCCGTGGGTTCAATTTTCGCCTCGATCAAATATTTTTCTCGAGATAATTTATCTGGTTGAATTTTGAAAAAAAGGTCCTTGAAGAGGAGGAAATTCACTAAAAAAAAGTTCCGACTCTCGAAACTGTATTTCCATTATTTATAATTTTATTTTAACGCTGAAAATAGCCGTCCGCGCGTCTTTTTTTTAGGTTGCGTGCACGACCTCTAAGCGAGTACGTAACTTGTACATGATATAATTGGCCACGGTGGTAGTGCGCTCGACTCACGATCGGAAAGCCGTGGGTTCAATTTTCGCCTCGATCAAATATTTTTCTCGAGATAATTTATCTGGTTGAAGCTTGAATGATTCTGCAACCGTGTTAGGAATCACACGTTAAAGTTAAGACCTCGTTAGTTATTAGCTCGCACAAGTTTCTCAACTTCTGAGAGTTGTCGTTCGTATGGGGGCGACAGCTGATTAACAGAAAAACAGATTTTTAACAGATTTTTTAAACAGATTTTGAAATTAATTGTTTTCCTAAATTTTTTGTATGTAGATGGAGTGGTAGAAAGCCCAAACCTTTCTTTAACCAAAAACTAATGTATCCTGAAAATATAACACTTTCAATTCAAATAGAAGTGGTAATTTTCAACTGAATATAGCAACTTTCCTTGTTTTCTGCGAGACATTAGCTGAGTTCTTTTTCCGTCGGGTATCTGCCACACGTACCTACAAAGTCATAGGTTCACTTTAGAGGCAAAGGTGAAGTGTTTCCACCTGAACCTGGGCATATCATGTGCACCTGTCCAGAAAATGTTTATCATTCTGACTCTCATTCCGGAGTATTTGTTTGTTGAGTTGTTTCCGGACTTTATCTGCAGGTGGCGCAGTGCTGGTACATCGTTTTGAATCAACTGCAGATAGAACTTATGACTAGTTGGAATTAATTTTGTTGGTTCGGGATATTCAGACGGTTCACTTCGTCTGAAATGACCCTTCCAGTACTGACGAGGAGCTAGTACTCCGAATCAGGTCTATCGGTGGTCATCCCAACCAGATGTAATTATTTCAACTTTTCATATATAGGAAGTTACTTAGGACGAATCTTCCAAATGGAAGACGTTACAGATGTTCCTGATGGTTTTACTTCAGCTTTCTGCCCGGCATTAGCTGGGTTAGTTGTNATAACTTTTGTAATTTTTATCGGCGCGTTTTCGGACCTTTCCTTAAACTTTCTAGGCAAAAATACGAATCGAATGACACCTTGGTCGTAATTTTTGGACACGGCTGAAAAATGTTACAAAAAAAAGTACATGTGAACTAGACTATTGTACCCGCCCCAGAAGATAGCTATTGGTCACACAAATTGATGTCATTAGTACAATGGCGTCGACAGTTATCCCGACAAAAATAACAATTTATAATGTATGTGAAATAACACTCAAAACAAATACACGAGAGTGTAAGTCGAAAAAATTCTCGCTCCCGGAGAGCTATCTTGGCGTGCGCTGCCTATTATACCATTGGAGTTACATGCAAATAATGCATGTATTTTGTACAATGCACATTTTAGAATATCTGTCAAATTATGAAAATTGATACAATTGTTGTTTTAAGTATTTGATATAGATACACTTTGGTCGAATCGTTTAAAAGTTATCACGATAAGATTAACTGGAAGCAACTTAGTGCAGTTGGCATATTTTTTTTTAGTTACTGTATTTTAAAAATATAAATAACTAGCTCTTGCCCGCTCTTATATCAACTTACAGCTCAATCTATTGAACCTAGAATCTTGAAATATGCAGGTAGGCTTTGTATGGTGTAAATAAGCATCAAGAAAGAGAATCAGGAATTTCCACCCAAATAGGGGTTCAAGGATTGTATTGAATTTTGTCAGTTTTGAAGTTGGAAACCTGAAGTTTTGGGTTGATAAAAAATATTTCAACTATTTGTTTAATATGGTCTGTCATGAAACTTAATGTGACAAACCAAATTCAACGCGGGCGAAGCCGCGGGCAACAGTTAGTAACTTTGCTAGGACCCTCATTGTGGTGAAATTGAATAGTATATGGTTCCATACAAATAACCACTTTTCTGTTCAAAACATTTAGTTCATCAATGAACTTGATTATTTGAAATTATATTGAATTTAATTGCTTATTTATTTTGTAATTTATTCATTTCTTCTTGAAGGTGACGATGACGGCACAGTTAAAATTTGGGACATGAGAGAAAAGGGCACACAAATTTATAAAACAAAGAAAAATGAAGATTTCATTAGCGATATGATTACCAATGATTCGAAAAAATATCTTGTTTGTTCCAGCGGGGATGGATCAGTTACCAGTATAGATCTACAAAATAGGTTTGTATGTGAGAAATAACAAATTATAAAATAGTATTGGTTTTTGAAATCGAAAATATCTAGGTAATAACTGACTTTTTTTACATGAATTTTTTTTTCAGGAGCATTTATATGCAATCTGAAGAATATGAAGAAGAACTTACTTGTCTAGGTATATTCAGATCAGAAACTAAACTAGTGTCAGGTTCTTCAAATGGCAAGCTGTACTTGTATAACTGGGAGGAATTTGGTTTACACAGTGATGCTTTTCCAGGTCCTAAGTCCTCTATTAATGCTTTAGTTCCGATAACTGAAAACATAGTTGTCACAGCTTGTGAAGACGGAAATCTTAGGGCAACCCATCTGTTTCCTCATAGGTGACAATAATTGAAATGTTGATTTTTTCAATAAATTGATGGATGTAGCCGTTACTATCTCGTAGACACACTTTCGAGTAAACATATTGTTCGCGCTGCTGACTGACCCTCGTATAACGTATTTCTGCTGGTAGCCGCATGATTTACGACCGCTCGCAAAAAAAGCGGCATATTTTACCCACATCAAAGGAGTTACCAGACTTATTAGAATATCTATGGACGATGGTATTATATTGTGAGTTCTTTTTATGTACCTATTAAAGGAAATAACAGAAACTGTATTAGCACATAATATTTAGAATATTTTGTTGACAATTTTACGAATTTTGTATTAAAATATGAGTTCGAAACGAAATAGAAAGGATAGGAACAAATTAGAATTAGATAGTTCATTTACGAATTCTAATGAGATGGAAGATAAATTGAATAGGTTAATGACAGGGATGGTCGCCTTACAAGAATCGGTTGAAAAATTGACGATTAATGTTGATCATATCGAAAAACGTACTAGGGAACTTGAAAAAACCGCAGTACCTTCTTCCGCCGCAAATAATCTACCGGAGTTTTCAAGTGTTGATTCTCGTCAAACGGAAATACAGATAGCTACGGTAAAAGATAGGAATTATATATCGAACTGGAAAGAATTGAGGGGTACCAATCTGGTGTTTTACCAAAATACAAAGTTTCATCCTATGGCATTTCTGAAAAAATTGAATAAAATCTTTATTGAAGCGGGGGTCCCGGACGATTGTAAATTGGGTTTAGCAGTGACGTGCTTGAGGGGTGCCGCGGCAGATTGGATAGCAATAAAAGAAAGCAGTTTCAATTCATTTCAAGATTTTACCACTGCTTTCACGGATCGCTTCTGGAGCGTAGACAAGCAGAGGGATTTAGTTTTAGACTTACATTATGGCAGATACGAATCAGGCAGTAGATCTGATTATTTTCTGAATTTAATTAGTCAAGCAAGCTTTCTTACGGAAAAAATTACTACAGCAAAATTGATCGAAATAATCGCCAAGCATTTTTCGCCAGATATTCAGAGGGGCATTATTACAAACGGGTTCGCGACAATAGATGATGTTGAATCTTTTTTACAGAAAATCGACGACAGCTACAAGGTCGACCCGACGGATAATTCTAACAGAAATCCGCGAAGAAACAATAATAATTACAGGGAGGCGCCTATTACTAGAAGTAATGCGAATTCAGCAAATCATAGTCGTAATCAAAATGAGCGTCGTGACGAATCGAGGGTGGAACAAGCGAGAATGAGTTATATAACGGTTTTCAATCGGGACACCGAGGAATTATTAACTGACTCAGATGAAGATCTGGAAGAAAATGAAATGGTGGCCCCTACGATTATCATGTCAGTGGGCAACAGAAATATCGAAGTATTGTTAGATAACGGGTCAGAGGTGTGCGCTATATCTGAAAGTTTTTATTTTAGTTTGAAAGGGGGGTCGGAGGACATTCCTGTCCTACCTGTCACGAACGTAACCATAGCCGTAGCTGTGGGGGGTAAAACACAACGGGTGAAAAATCAAATTTTGCTACCAGTATCTATTTCGGGACAGGAAATGGATGTGACATGCTTAGTCGTTCCGTTTCTAAATTGTAATGTGATCTTTGGAGCTAATTGGCTATATGAGCACAAAACTATAATCGATTTTGAAAAATCACAGCTACGTTTTCACGTGGACAATCAAAGTATCTTAACGAATATTGATTTCAAGGTCAACGGGGCAGGAATACATATTGTATTGTACACAAATTTGTGTAAGAATTTGTCAGATGGGGCGGAAATATCGTCTAATACGGAAAATGGGGCAGTCAAAGCAAACACACATAAATATTCGCTACACGACTTGCGAAAAGCAGCCGATGATGCCATGACTGATGATTCTCACAAAGAAAAACTATTTATAATTTTGAAAGAAAATCGTAATGTTTTTTCAGAGTGTCCGGGACGTGTTAACTGTTATACGCACGAAATTGAATTGAATGATTATGAAGCATTCAATGCGGCCACATATCCTATTCCATTTAAATATAGGGAGGAAGTCACAAACCAAATAAGGGAAATGATAGTGTGGGACGTAATTCAGAAGGAAAAAACCGAATATATTTCACCTTTGGTATGCGTCACAAAAAAAGATGGCAGCGTACGGGTATGTCTAGATGCTCGTTGGTTGAATTCAAAAATGAAAAAGAATTTTATCAATCCACCTAATCCTAATGAACTTTTATTTAGTTTCAAAAAACCATTGATTCAACTGCAGCCTACTGGCAAATTCCAATCGCCAAAGAACATACAAAATTTATTGGGTTTATTTATGAAGGGGAATCATACACCTTCAAAAGGTTACCCTTTGGTCTGAGTACGTCTATGGCATCGCTTATAACATGCTTGAAATCAGTTCTGGGGGGTGAATGCGAGAAATGCAGTTGCGTCTATGTAGACGACCTACTAATTTTTCCAAACAATATCGATGATCATTTCAACCATTTGGATAAAATATTCAAGAAGTTAAATTCGGTCAGACTCACAGTTAAATTGCAGAAATCCCAGTTTGTTCGTCGACAGGTTACATTTTTGGGACACATCATATCCTCTGAAGGGGTGCAAATTGACCCCAAGAGAATTGAATGTATTGATAAATTTCTCACACCCCGTAACATCAAGGAGTTGAGAGGATTCTTGGGATTAGTTAATTATGAGCAGCGCTTTTGCAACAAGTATGCGAATCTTAGTGTTCCTTTATTGAAATTATTGAAAAAAGGAACACAGTGGTGTTGGGGGCAAGAACAAAAACATGCCTTTCTGGCCATTAAGAAAGCGTACTTACAATCGACGGTAGTAGCTCACCCCGATTTTAACCGCACCTTTCATATTCAATGCGATAGCTCAGATTATGCAGTGGGGGGTTGTCTTTTCCAGGTTGCAGAAAGTGGGGAGAGACAAGTGGTCGCATATACTAGCTGCACATTAAAGGGAAGCCAGCTTGTGTATACGGTAACCGAAAAGGAAGCTCTGGCTATTATACATTGTTTACGCCAGTGGCGTACCCTAATTTTAGGTAGGGATTTGGTAATATTTTCAGACCATAAGTCTTTAAGTTTTTTATTAACTTGCAAACTTCGTTCAGCCAGGTTATCTCGCTGGATAATGTTTATACAAGAGTTCGATTTCCGAGTGGAACACTGTAAGGGTTCCGAAAACGTCACAGCTGATATATTATCACGTTTCCCAGTAAAAGGGTGAGATAGATATTCGGCCTGAAAAATCTGAAAATGTACATATATCTTTGATCAAGTTGGCAGACCTCTCCAGTTTGAAAAAACAATTCAAAAATCTCAGAGCGGATCAACTGTGAGAGACATGGATTAAGGGGCGAATCGAGTTTTTAGAAAAAATGAGGAATGAAGTTAGGGTTCTTTCGGAATCGGAAGGTAAAATTCACCAGTGGTTCGTTGTACATGAAGGGTTGCTATTCAAAAGGGGGGATAATAAGTGTCAAGGGTTCAAGCTTTGTGTTCCGCAAATACAGGTCAAGGAACTTGTGTTGGCCCATCATGAAAGTATGGGGCATTTCGGCAAGGAGAAAACGTATCTGCATATGCGTCAGAAGTTTTTCTGGCCAAAAATGCAGAAAATGGTGCGCCACATTGTCGCCGCTTGCGACTTATGTCAAAAGGCCAAGTGTTCTCCTAAGAGTCAGGGTTGGATAAACCCTATTCTGGTCACGAAACCAGGAGAATTAGTATGTTTGGATCTAATTGGGCCTCTACCGCAAACCACCACCCAACTTCTGGTAGTCGTGGATGCTTTCTCCAAATTTACGAAACTATATGCCTTACGAAGAGCAACCACTTGTTTCATTCTGTATATACTCGAAAATGATTATTTTCCAAAGGTTCAAAAACCCACATGTATTTTGTCCGATAATGCCACACAATTCACGAGTACGAAGTGGCACAATAAATTGAACGGCCTAGGCATCAAAACTAAATTGATATCAGTGTATTTCCCTCAGAGAAATATAACAGAAAGGTATAATAAAGAAATCGAGCGGCTATTACGTTCATATTGTCACGAAAAGCACACAAAATGGCCGAATATGTTGGAGTTTGTAGAGAATTGCCTTAACAACGTTCTCAACTCGAGTACCGGTTTTACAGCCAATTATTTGCAATTCGGTACCGAACAGCCGAATCCTATCGCCAAGTATTTGAGTTTTCCGACCGAATCTGAGTCCAACCAACCTCTCGGAAGAATTTGGGAACTGGCCGCTTCTAAGTTAAAGACTAAGGCCGAAAGGCGTGCTGAAAAAGCCAATCGGAAGGTCAAACCAACATTTTTCAAGGCGGGAGACGAGGTCCTAGTTAGGACACATTACAAATCCTCAGCGGAGGACAAAACCATCAAAAAGTTTTTTCTATTATATGAAGGACCTTTTAAGGTAATTCGACAAGCGGGTCCAAATTCGTATATTATTGGCGACGGAGAAGGTACGGAGTTGTCAAAGCAAAAGGTTATCCATCTAAAACCGTATAAGACCATCCCGGTCCAATCTTAGATTTTAAGACTGTTCTAGATATGCTTTATTTGTTTCTTTGTTTCTTTATTTTATTGAGTTAGGGGTAACCTAAATACTTATGTGAGAATTTTGTATTTAGTTAGGGGGGTGATGTGGTGGTTCGGGTTGTGCGGCACTAGACTATACCGTGCTCCGGACTATAAGGCACCAATGTGGACGATGGGAAAAGGGTGAAGAGTGCGGGAGGTAAGCGAACAGGCAGACACCGGGGAGTCCTCGGTTAGCTCTGGACTGAGTAGGACATGTAGTTAGGAGAACGCATGTTAGTTTTTTAGTTTATATAGTGACAACCACATGTTATATTGGTGGTAACCATCTATTGAGAAGTGTATTTAAGTTCATGAGTTGCGTTAAACATTAATACTCGCACTGTCTTTATCACTAAAGCTCTGAACCTGCATTGTATCCCTGAGTCTCATCGAACCGCGGCATAAGTGACCCCCAACTAGGGC